GGAACACAAGCAGGGGGAGTGGGAGAGGGAGAAGCAGGCTTCCCGCCGAGCAGGGAGCCCGATGTGGGGCTCGATCCCAGGACCCTGGGACCATGACCCGAGCCAAAGGCAGACGCTTAACGACTGAGCCACCCAGGTGCCCCTAGATCTTTTATATTTAATGTAATTATTGATATATTTGAATTTACCTCTACCATTTTCTTACTCTTTTTTTCCATTTGTTACCCCATTTTTATTTCTCTATTTTCCCTTTCCTGCCTTCTTTTGGAGTATTTGATTTGTGTGCCTGTGTGTGTGTGTGTGTGTGTGTGTGTGTGTGTGTGTGTATTGGTTAGGTATTCCATTATAATTTGTTGATTGTGTTTTTACAGTTTGTTTTTTAGTGGTTGCTCTAGAGATTACAATGTACTTTTCAGTTTACTTAGAATCAAAATTTTACTACTTCATGTGGCACATAAAAACTATCACCATACAGCCCCTTTACCACCCCACCCACTTTATGCTGTTGTTGTGTTATGTATTATGTTGTATGACATTCATTGAAAGCTCCATCACACAATGTTATACTTTGTGCTTTCAACTATCAAACATATTTAAAGAACTCAAGAGGATAAAAATGGTCTATTATATTTAATTAGATATTTGACAATTACATTGCTCTTCCTTACTGATGTTTCAAAGTTCCCTTATGGTATTACTTACCATCTGTTGGAATAATTTCCTTTAGCAATTCTTTTAAAGCACTCCTTCTGTCGAAACATTCCTTAAGTTTTCCTTCATCTAAGAATGTCTTTATTTCACTTTCATCTCTGAAGGATACTTTTGCTGGATATGGAATTCTGGGTTGACAGTTCTTTTCTTTCAGCACTTTAAATATGTTCTACTTACTTCTGGCCTGCATTGTGTTCTGAAAATAGATTCACAGTCATTTGAACACTTTTCCCCTCTAAGTAATACTAAATTTTTCTGGCTGCTTTCAAGACTTTTTGTCTAAAGTTTTCTGAAATTTTATTAGGATGTGGCTGGTCATGGATTTCTTTGTATTTATTTTGTTTGGGGAGTTTGCTGAGCTTCTTAAAACTGTAAGTTTGTCTTTCAACAAATTCAACAAATACCAAACTCCCCTCTTGTTGGGATTCTCTTGTCACAAATGTGGGATCTGAGGCACTCCTCTTTTTTAATTTTTTCTAATCTTTTTCTCTGTTGTTCACATTGGGTAATTTCAGTTCATCTATATTAAGTACATTGACTTCATCTTTTGTCATCTCTATTCTTTTTTTTTTTTTTAAGATTCTATTTATTTATTTGAGAGAGGGAGAGAAAGCAAGTGAGAGAACAGAGTACGAGTGGCAGGGAGGGGCAGAGGGAGAGGGAGAAGCAGACTCCTGGGATAGAGCTCCCTGAGCATGGAGCGGACTTGGGGCTGACTTGGGGCTCTATCCCAGGAGGCAGGGATCATGACCTGAGCTGAAGGCAGACGCTTAACCTACTTAGACACCCAGGTGCTCTGTCATCTCTATTCTATTGAGCTCATCTAGTGAGCTTTTAATTTTGGTTATTGATATTTTTTCACTTCTGAGATTTGTATTTGGTTCTTTTTTTATATCTTGTGTTTCTTTTTTTGAGACTTTATATTTTTCCAGTTGTTTCAAGAATGTTTGCTCTTACTTGGTGAAGCATTCTATAATCGTTGCTCTCATATCTTTAATATCTTCCTCAGATAGTTCCAGTGTCTGTGGTTTCTTGGTGTAGGCATCTTTTCTCATGTAAGTTGAGATTTTCCTGGTTCTTCATTTGCCAAGTAATTTTGGGCAGCTTGGTATGTTATGATATGTTCAAATCCTATGCAGAATGTTGATATATTTGTTTTAGTAGGCATATAACCCCATTAGGCTAAGACTGCAAGTTCCTGTGGGTTGTGTTTACAACATTAGTTCCATTTTCAAAGCCTTTGCCGTGCTATTTGGATCTGTCCTACATGTGCACCACACATGGGTCAGTCTGGAATTTGGGTAGTGGTCTGTATCATAGTTCAAGTCTCAAAGTGTACGTGTGCTTGTTCAGGTCAGATCCACCCATGGGCTGCTTGAGGGTGAGCCTGGGAATTCATTAAACAACTTGAAGCATTGCTTTCCTAAGCTCTTCCTTCTCTGGGATCTCCCAGTAATTTCTGATTCCCTGGGGCTCCCTTTTCTATCCTCTGATCAGAAAGCTTTATTCATCTCTAATGTGCATTCCCTACATGTGCCCATATCCAGGGCCAAGTGGCAGAACAACAGAGAAAAAGCAAACAGGGATTCACCACATCCTCTTTGGACCACAGCTCCTCTAATCAGAGAGGAAGTTTTCCCCTTCCTCAGAGTTTTAGAATTCTGATGGGCCTCTTTTGCCACAGCTGCTACAGGAGGCTGAGCTTGAGAGAATGAGGGAGGGATTTCCACACTTTCTTTGAGTAGAAGATCCCTTTCTCTCTCCTAGAGCCAGCACTAGACAGCTTTTACTGAAGTTTTCTCTGTACTAATGTCCACTTCCAGGTTTGGGGCTGTAGGATAACTGAACTGGAGGTTGCATACTGGAAAATGATGTTTCAGTGGTACTTCAAATTCTGGTCTTCCTACCCAATCTGTGTGCTTCCTATTTTAACTTTTCAAAGTTCTGAAGTAGCTTTTCCATGTGTTCTATCCAGGTCTTGTAGCTACCTTGACTTGGAGAGACGGGGTTGGAGTATGATTACCTCATTTTATCTGGAACTAGAACCTGACTTAAAAGTTTTAAATTTTATTTCTCTAGGAATTTGACAAGAAACTGAATTTTTGATCAAATATATTTTGAGTATGAAACCAGACATGTAACAAAGTTTAGATTCTTTCATTTGATTAAGGTAAGTTTGCTTAGTAAAATTAATCATACCCCCACTATATATTTTTAAACTTATATTTTAATGTGTACTTTACTAACACATTTTACTTTTCAGTCTACCTGAGATTCTGACCTCAAAGTATTTTCATGGTTCCTTTACCATTTAAATAACTAATGTTTCATGTAACAACTTCCAGATACAAGAGGATATAATAACTTCCAGAAATGAGGGAACATGTGATTATTTGTTTACTGAGGGTGTTGTATATTGATAATCAGATCTGTTTGCCTGGTGCAAGAGTCAGCAAATTATGGCCCAAAGGCCAGCACCTGTTTTGGTAAATAGAATTTTATTGGAACATAGTCACACCCATTCATTATCTATTGTCTGTGGCTGCCTTACCACCACAGTGGCAGAGTTCATTAGTTGCAACAGTGTCTCTGTGGCCTGCAAGTCTAAAATCTAGCTCTTTAAGAAAAGTTTGCTGACTGAATCAGAGTATCTTGCTATGCCGTGTCATTATATGTGAATTGATAGCTAACTGATTTTAGGTATCAGTAAGTCTCGTCAGGTATGAAAACTAATTAGTGATTATTTTTTAGAAAGAGGTGTTAATTTTCTGAAGTAATTGACTTTAAAAATAAGACAAAGCTATGAGCAATTAAATGCCAAGTAATTATTTCCAGTAGAAGTCTTCATTTTGCTTAGATTTAAAAAAGTAAAAGTTTATATGATAAAAGTCAAGTTTCTTCCTGTCTAAAAAAATTCACACAAATGTATTTAATATTATTTTCTTTCCTAGGAAATTTAAATAGAACTAGTAACATTTGGGAAGTAATCATTATGTGTTTTAATATCTGTCCTAATAACACAAGTATTTTAGATTATATAAAGTTTTAATTGAAATAAAATTGATTCTCATATAAAACTGTTTTAGTTGCTAAAGTTGGAATTATGTTTCTAAAATTTATATTGAATCACTTATACCTGTTTGTGATTCCTAAAATTATGAGTATTTAAAAAACATAAGATAGAAGGAGAGATCAAAATTTGAGCCTAGACAGTTTATAAAATGTTTGCTAGGCTGCTCAGGATTCTCTTGACTAAAGAAAAACCTATTTTTTTACACATGGACATATAAATTAGAATTTCCAAGCAATATCAAATAAAGGAATTTCTCTCTTTTTTTTGAAAACAAAATCTGAAAAATAAATTTTTTGCTAATTTCTAGGTAATATTAACAAAATAAAGTAAGTTTCTAAAATCTTTACATCATAAGAACTATTTGATTTGAAAAACAGTCTCATATCATGCATGAAGCTGCGATACATTTAGCTTTCTAATAGACTTGTGTGAGGTATCTTGTGTTTTTATAAAGTGAATTTAAAACTTTTAAAAATTTACATTTTAAAGGAAGAAATCTAGAAATTTATCTGAAAAATATATTTTGTATTATATTGTCATTTTACATGTAAGTCAATATAGATTTAAAGCCTCTCTTCATTAGAGTACTTATATATTTGAATTATGAAAGATGGATAAAATAAGGCTACAGAAGAATTGATGGGTCTCTTCGTAGCTTGAACATGTGAATGAGGCCACCTTAGTATTAGCATGTTTAGCTATGTTCTAAACTGAATTGGTTTGGAAAGTACCTGATTCATAGACTGAGACTTATGAATAAGAATTCCCTTTTAAATGATGGATGATATAAGAAGGTACTGCTAAAGCTTTTTGCTTCTATCAAAATCTTATCTGAAGATGTCTTTTCTTTTTTAACTTCCCTGATTTATGTTTTGTTGTGGTCCTACCATACAAACTTAGATTAGTTTTTTCTGAGTCAACATAAAATACTTCATTTTAAAAATCAGCTACTGGGGGCGCCTGGGTGGCTCAGTTGTTGAGCGTCTGCCTTTGGCTCAGGTCATGATCTCAGGGTCCTGGGATCGAGCCCCACAATGGGCTCCCTGCTTGGCGGGAAGCCTGCTTCTCCCTCCCCCACTTCCGTGCTTGTGTTCCCTCTCTCTCTGTCTCTCTCTCTGTCAGATAAATAAATAAAATCTTAAAAAAAAAAATCAGCTACTGAGTCATTGCTAATTTGACATTATTACTGCAGTTAGATATGTGTGTTGAAGACAGAGACAGATTTTCTTCTTTGAATATGCTTCTTGCTTTTTGGAGTTATATATGTCTGGATAAGAAAGGGCTTGGGTGGATTAGTTAGGAATTTTTTTTGAATGTCAATGTCTTAGTCCATTTGGGCTGTTAAAACAAAATAACAAAAGCTGGATAGCTTACAAACTATAGAAATTTATTTCTCACAGTTCTGGAGGCTGGGAAATTCAAGATCAGTGCCAGCAGATTTAGTGTCTAGTAAGGACTTGCTTTCTGGTTCATAGACATGTTTTTTTGCTGTCTCACATAGTGGAAGGGGTGAGGGAGCTCTCTGGGGCCTTCTTTATAAGGGCACTAATCTCATTCATGAGGGCTCTCCTCTCATGACCTGATCACCTCCCAAAGGCCCCACCTCCAAGTACCATCACATTGGTGGTTAGGATTTCAATATGAATTTCTGGAGGACACAAACATTCAGTCAAATTTTTAATTTCATAGGCCCTGATCAAATGTCACTGTATAGTCTTTAGGACAGTAAAGAAACTAATATGGAAATGAGCCTTTAAGGTTTATCCTCACAGGAGATAATGCAAAAACATGTTACTTTAATTGATCACTATGGGATTTTCTTAAACTTTAAGAAATATATTTCTTAATATATATATTATATT